CACAAATATTATTCTCATTTTGGGAAACTATTTTCTCAGTCTTCATGGTGGATTTTTCTAGGTCAATGATTCAGTCTTCTACATCTGATATTTGATCTTCTGTATGATCTAATCTGCTTTTAATACTTTTAAGGGAGGTTTTGATTTCATCTCTAACAGCTCCATTTGATTGATTTTTATGGTGTGTATTTCCTGTTTCAAATCGTGCAAGAATTTCCTCAACTTCTGGAAATCATCAGCTCTATTCTCCTACTTCTGCAGTTTATTGTCTCTCTTTTCTTGCATCTCTGTTAACTTTGTCACTATAAGGATTCTAAATTCTTTATCTGACATTTCTGTGAGTTCCATTGTACTCTATTTGGATGAAGAGGAGTTATTCTGAGACCAGCAGTTAGCGTAATGGCTATGTCACTGAACTCCCATGTAGTCAACCGCAGTTCAAGTTCCGGACCCAGTGGCTTAAACTCATGCCAGGTGCATGTGTGTGCGTGCCCAAGATCCCAAGAGGAAAATGGAGGAGAAAGGATTGTGGAGTGGCCATCCTATCCCCCCGGGGGGTGGTTTTTCATTTTCTGTCTCCATCTCTCTCTGTCTCTGAGACATATGCCCTATAGCAAAAAAAAAAAAAAAAAAAAGAAGAGTTATTCCTTTCCCTTGGAGAGGAGGCATATTATTGCTTTCTCGGTGCGTGCCCAAGATCCCAAGAGGAAAATGGAGGAGAAAGGATTGTGGAGTGGCCATCCTATCCCCCCGGGGGGTGGTTTTTCATTTTCTGTCTCCATCTCTCTCTGTCTCTGAGACATATGCCCTATAGCAAAAAAAAAAAAAAAAAAAAGAAGAGTTATTCCTTTCCCTTGGAGAGGAGGCATATTATTGCTTTCTCGTATTTCTTGTGTCCCTGTGGTGATTTCTGGTCATCTGATGGATTGTGCATTTCTTCCTAATTCTTGAAGTTCAATTTGTGCATTGAGAGATGTGAAGGAGGAGGTCATCTGCAAAATTAATTAATTAATTAATTAAAATTTTAAAAAGTAAAAGACACAGAGAGACAGAGAGACAGAGAGATGGAGAGAATACAGAGGTAGCCCTGCCCACTAGAAATGAATATGGATGGAGGAGTCTCAGCCGAAAATCTTCCTTTTTATGCCCTGAAAGGAATATTTCCCAGCTCCA